GATATTTAAATAACAAAGAGCATAGAAAGCGAAGCACTCAACTAACAACTTACTGAAAATGCAACTATAGAATGAGATCAAAAAGTCACACCCAGGGGCTACTATAATCCCTGTGATCATATCATCAGACAAAACTCAGCTCACTACTTTTGGCTACAAAACTGTGTATCCTGTCTACATCATGATTGGGAATCTCCGAAAGGATATTTGCTGAAAGTCCTCACATTGTGGCCAGATCCTCCTTGTGTTACAGCCTTCAGGGGGGGGGTTTGTTTCCTTTGTTACAATTTGTCATTGACCCTGTAATACTACAACTGATCTTATCACTTGGTGTGTTTCACCTGTATCATTGTTTCATATACATCATGTTTCACCTTTATCATGTTTCACCTACATCACGTTTCACTTACATCATGTTTCACCTTTCATCACTGATACAACCCAGTGAAACTGTTTCATGTACATCACTGATCCAACTCAGTGTTTCATACTTATTAGACTCTATTTGCCTTACTTGATTTAAGTAGCACTACTTGGGCTACTGTAGTTTAGTTTTGTCCTCTTGTTCCTTATGTACACTTCATAGGGACATCTTCAGTGATAGACTCAGTTGTCTATTCAAGTCTCAGTCTGAAGTGTTGCTTCAACCAGTATATATTCTCAAACCACTGTCAGTTATAGTGGCTCAGTCTACGAGTGTAGTTCTAGTATAGCGCGTCAGCCTTATGCGTATAAGTCTCAGTATCAGATATCAGTAGAACTCCTGATCCTCAGTTGTTAGATCCCTTAACACCTTGCCTATTTCCCAACTTCTTGCCTGGAACACATTACTAGTAAAGCAGCTTGATGGCGCACTCTTGCAAATTTGTTTCATGCATGCATGGCATGCATCCTTGCTCCATTGAAGAAGGCTGGCCAGCATGGGGTTACATCCAACACCCATTTCAGGCAGTGTCCAGCAGGACATTGATAGATTCCAAAGCAGACTGAATATCAAATATGTTCCATAATCTTTTACAAGAGCTGACAGTATTGACAGACACAGCACCAGTGAAATCAACAAGAAGAACCATCTGTATCTGTAAATAGAACCACTTGAACAGGATCTAGTGTGGCCTCTAAGAACTCTTACATAAGCCAGGCTACTCAGATTTGAGTATAACACAGAAAGAGCAAGTATGATTCTTGATAAGAATAGGAGGTCTTCTTCTAAATATCAAACATCAAGGAGCCAATGTCTAAAGTCCAATCACAAGAAGGTTACCTACTCAATTTATCAATTGAGTCAAGGATAAGTTTGGGAATGAGAAGTATAGAAACATAGGACAATTAGTGAAGGAATTATTGAGAAAAACAGATCATATAGAGCTGGGAAATGACAGTATTATATGGAATAACTATCTTTAGTTTTATTTATTCAAACTAGATGTCAGTAATAGTAGCAAGTACTATTACAAAATTGTAATATCAGCAATGGCTTTCATTTCTACTAATATACCAATTGTTACAGTCTTAGGAAGGGGGACTTCTTTTCTTTTATACCTTGTCCTCATTGACTCTGAATAATCTATCTACAGCCACAGATTATTTTATTGATGCACTTCATCTACATCTATCTGTTGTTGTTCATATCACTGATTCAACTTATCAACTGATATATCATTCCCAGTTTACCTCAATAGAACTCTATGTTATTTCCAATACCTCTCTGTATCTCAGACATAGCTACTGCAGCATTGTACTTTAGTTGTGTCCTCCTGTTCTCTATGTACATCTCATAGGGACATCTCTGCGCTATAGACCCAGTTGTCTATTATCTGCTTTGGTCAGTTTGTGCTCTCAAACTTCCTTAGCTAGAGAAGCTCAGCTTAGTTGGACAAACCCCTCAGCACAAGTCCTATAGGACTTAAGCATCATAAGCCTTAGGATGCCCAGTCAAAGTTCAAGTAGAACTCCTGATCCTCCATTATTCCAGTCTCTTAACACCAATAACTGGAATCAAACCCATTCCAGCATCATACATGTTTAATCCCACTATGGATGAAGGCATCTTAAAAGAATACTATCCAGGAGACTCTCGCATTTCTACCTAGAGAGTGTGGAGAGGAATTTTGAACTCTGCCACAGATGCTATCACAAATGAGACTGAGAGTGTTCTACAGTATATTATTAGGAAGAATATACACTTGGAGCAAACAATCATCAATCAGCAGACCAAGATTACCACTGCTGATACATGAAAATTGATATATCTGAGCCTATTGAGCTGCTGGCCCTTAATAATGGATCATGGCCTGTCCTCTGGGACTATGCCAAGGCTTATAACACTGACAATTATGAGCTTGCAGAAGCAGTAGTATCCATGGCTAGAGGAGATGTCACTTACCGGCCAGGTATGATGGCTATTGTGGATGGTGTGGTGTTGGATGCCAAGAAAATATATCAATATAGTCATCTCTATCACACCCAACATTCTGCATCAGCTATACCAAGCACAATGATGTCAGGCACTGCAATCTTGGATTTATATATCCAAGTCTGCAAACATATAAGTTTCATAACTGCAATAATAAAAACAAGCTGCTTACTATTTTCTTGGCATCCAACACCACATCATCCACAATAGCCATCATACCTGGCCGGTAAGTGACATCTCCTCTAGCCATGGATACTACTGCTTCTGCAAGCTCATAATTGTCAGTGTTATAAGCCTTGGCATAGTCCCAGAGGACAGGCCATGATCCATTATTAAGGGCCAGCAGCTCAATAGGCTCAGATATATCAACTTTCATGTATCAGCAGTGGTAATCTTGGTCTGCTGATTATATTCTCAAACCACTGCCAGTTGCAGTGGCTCAGTCTACAAGTCTAAGTTCTAGTATAGCGCGTTAGCCTTACACGTAGCAGTACCTTTTGTCAGTAGTAGTCTTAAGTGGAACTCCTGATCCTCAGTCGTCAGGTCCCTTAACAATTACACTATATGCATTTGAGTATCAGAAAGAGTCAAAGATAGAATACAATAAAAAGGTAAAGGGAATACAAGAGGGAGCAAGTACTATGGACAAATGGAAATACTGCCAGTGGGAAAATCTCCTGTCTACTGTTCTGATTCAAAGTATCTTTGATGTATCCAAAGTAGACTCCACCTGGTTAATTTTGATCACAGTGAGGGGTGATGATCAGTTAGTGTATGATGGTAGGCTGGAGAGGGCATTGGACTGTAGTGGTGATGTTGAACACCAACTGTTGCTCTAGGTGCTTGTCAAAGTATTTCTCTGATACTTGATGCCAAAGCAAACTTAACCCCAAACACTCACTTCTGATAGTTGAATGGTATTGGCTGAGTTATAGAAATGCTATGGGGCTTGTCTGGAGCTGGTAGGCTCTGAGGGTACTTGGTGAAGAAGGAGAAGGGTAGACAAATATAATCAGGCTGCCATCTCTATGCTGTATTGCTCTGGTATTTATACATGAGGGACCAGACCCCTAATACTATTGGTAGTATACCTAACACCTAGGCTGACTAATGCTCCTAATATGCTATTAGCTATCTAAGAATACCTGACATGTAAACACTCTACCTTGTGTTGAGTCAGTAGCTCAACTGATGGCCACCTAAATGGCCAGGTGTGGTTCAAGGTGTGATGAGGATATTCACATGTGATGGGGTTTCCCCATAGCCTTTCCCAAATGATGGGACAACCACCTGACTAGTAACATGTTATTATCCATTGTTATATCTGTAACTGGAAAAATATCTAGTTGGATAAGGTATAGATCATCTAGATGCTGAGATAAGATAGATGCTAAGAAACTCTATGACACCTCAAGCTCCAGGAGCTCAATAAATTCCTTGAATAAAACCTATGAAAGGGTATATTTGACCATGAAAGTTGCCTATCAAAGTTGCCTATGGCTTCTCCTTTCTCCTTTGCTGATAAGAAGTTGGGAGATCTAAGATCCTGCCAAGACTAGTGACAACTCAATAGTGCCACTCTCAAGAATGCCCATCTCATTCCACAAGTAGAGCACCTTCTCAATAGAATTGTCACTGCAAAACCAACACTATTCACCAAGTTAGACCTAAAGCAGGTTACAACAACATCAGGATTAAGGCAGGCAACAAATAGAAAGGGGCGTTCATCACCTCTCAAGGATTATTTGAATCAGTAGTTATGTTCTTTGGAATGACCAACTCACCTGCTATCTTCCAAGCAATGATGGATGAGGTATTTGCCAACCTCTTACTAGAAGGTGGGTTCGTAATTTACATTGACAATATCCTCATCTTCTTCACTAATCCAGAAGAACATCACTGCAGGATACAGCAAGTATTACAATGGATTAAAGACAATGACTTGTACCTTAAGCCAGAGAAATGTATCTTTGATGTACAAGAGGTTGAATTCTTGGGTTTCATCCTCAAACCATATCACATTGGAATGGCAGAACACAAGGTATTAGCAGTACTAAAGTGGGATAACATTACCAATATCAAAGGCCTTCAACACTTCCTAGGATTTTCCAATTTCTATCAATGATTTATTCTAGGATACTTCAATATAGCTTTCCTCTTGTTCAATCTCTTAATATAGCAAACGAAGTGGGAATAGAAATATCCATACAGTGCCACACTCACCCAACTAAAGGAATGCTTCAGCCAATTACCTCTTTTGGTATAGCCCAATCTTTGTTGAGACCAAGACGAAAGGATGGTCTGCCAGAAGCTCAATAATGTGAGGACAGCTAGAGTCCGAGATGAGCATCTAATATATTGAGTAGTAGACCATGTAGCTACATACCTAGAGTCCGAGATGAGTATCTGGAGAAGCCAGTATGCCTCGGACTCTGGAGTACAAGTCCTAGAGTA